TTTGGAATTTTAGTAAAATTGTGAATCTCATGAGTACAGATACGTACCGTGTAGATCAGGCCAGTGGCATGTTTCACTTGATCTGGACAGCACCCATATCTTGCATCATCACTCTCATATTACTCCTCATCAATTTGACCTACAGCGCTCTTGCAGGATTCGGGCTGTTAGTCGTTGGACTTCCCTTATTAACTAAGGCTGTCAAGAGACTGTTTGCGAGAAGAAAGGCCATCAACAAGATCACTGATCAAAGAGTAAGTCTCACACAAGAAATTCTTCAGGCAGTGCGATTTGTGAAGTACTTCGGCTGGGAGACAGCATTCCTTGATAGACTTGCTGCAATCAGGAACAAGGAGATTCGCTCCATTCAGATCTTACTGGCGATCAGAAACGCCATAAACGCTGTCTCCATGACTATGCCTATCTTTGCGTCAATGATAGCTTTTATCACCTACAGTTTGACGGATCACGGGTTAAGCCCAGCACGTGTATTTTCGTCGCTTGCTCTATTCAACTCGTTGCGATTGCCGCTAAATCTACTACCTATGGTTATCGGGCAGGTTATTGATGCTTGGTCTTCAATCTATCGTATCCAAGAATTCTTACTCAGCGAAGAGCAAGAAGATGATGCTAAGCCAGACCATGAACTAGAAGGAGCAATAGTCTTAAAAAGCGCCGACTTTACTTGGGAACGGACAGCGACTCAAGATTCTGAAAAGGCCGGGCCTGCTGGAAAGAAGCAGACAAAGGCTGAAGTTAAATTCGAAAAGGATGCCAAGAAACAAGCATCCAAGGATGAAAAAGCTGCTGAAAAATCCCGGTCAGATTCCTCTCCAACCAATAAGGATATTACAAGCAACGACGGAACTCCTCTCGATGATGCAAGCACTATCAATGGAGATGAAGAACCATTCAGCTTACAGAATATGAATTTTACGATTGGCAGGAATGAGCTAGTAGCTGTAATTGGTGGAGTTGGAAGCGGCAAAAGTTCTCTGCTTGCTGCTCTCGCAGGTGACATGCGGAAAACAAGAGGAGAAATGACTATGGGAGCTGATCGAGCCTTTTGCCCGCAATATGCATGGATACAGAATGCGACCGTCAGAGACAACATATTGTTCGGAAAAGATATGAAAAAGTCATGGTATAACAAAGTCATCGATTCTTGTGCCTTGAGACCCGATTTGGAAATGCTCCCGAACGGCGATCAGACTGAAATCGGCGAGAGAGGTATCACTGTTTCAGGAGGTCAGAAACAACGAATGAATATTGCGCGAGCCATCTACTTTGATGCTGACTTGATTTTGATGGATGATCCTTTAAGCGCTGTCGATGCACACGTTGGTCGTCATATTTTTGACAATGCAATTATGGGCTTATTAAAGGACAAAGCTAGAATTTTAGCCACTCATCAACTCTGGGTACTCAATCGTTGTGATAGGATCATATGGATGGAAGAGGGCAGAATTCAAGCGATTGACACGTTCAGCAATCTCATGAACAATCATGCTGGTTTTCAACAGCTCATGGAGACAACAGCAGTCGAAGAATCACACGAGCCAGAGGCTGAGGAAGAAGGTATCGAAGTGGAGAAGAAGGTTGAGAAAAAGAAGCATAAAGCGCCTGCTTTAATGCAAGCCGAGGAGAGGTCTGTCAAGAGTGTTTCATGGACAGTATACGCCGATTATGTCCGGGCTTCTGGTAGTCTCTTAAATGCACCGATCATTTTATTGCTACTCCTCCTTTCGCAAGGTGCAAATATCGCCACTAGCTTGTGGTTATCATGGTGGACAAGCGATAAGTTCGGATACTCCACTGCTGTATATATTGGAGTGTATGCTGCGCTTGGTGCTAGTCAGGCTCTGCTGTTGTTCTTTTTTGCTTTGTAAGTTTTTTTCTAATTAGTTTTCCTCCTTGTGAAACGGAGTATTCGCTAACCACCCCAAATCAGAGCCCTCACAATCCTTGGAACAATTGCGAGTAAGGTGATGCTCAGCAAAGCCATTACAAAGGCACTCCGAGCGCCCATGTCCTTCTTTGACACCACGCCTCTGGGCCGTATCACTAATCGTTTTTCAAGAGATGTTGACGTTATGGACAACAATCTCACTGATGCTATACGCATGTTCTTTCTAACCATGGCTATGATTATATCGGTCTTCGCCTTAATCATTGCTTACTTCCATTATTTTGCTATCGCTTTGGCGCCTCTTGCACTTCTCTTCATATTTGCAGCGGGATACTATCGTGCATCGGCACGAGAAATGAAGCGTTTCGAATCAGTCTTTCGATCGAGCGTTTTTGCCAAGTTTAGTGAAGGACTTTCTGGAACATCTACCATTCGAGCATATGGACTACAAGATCGATTCATTACTGATTTGAGAAAGGCAATCGACGAGATGGACTCTGCCTATTTTCTTACGTTCTCAAATCAGCGATGGTTATCTACTCGTTTGGATATTATCGGAAATTTGCTTGTTTTTGTAACGGGTATTCTAGTCATCACTTCTAGATTTTCCGTGGGGCCATCTACTGCAGGATTGGTATTATCTTATATTCTTTCTATCGTTCAGATGATTCAATTTACCGTTCGCCAACTAGCGGAAGTCGAGAATGGAATGAATGCCACGGAACGTATCCATTACTACGGTACTTCATTAGAGGAAGAGGCACCATTACATACAATAGATGTTCGCCCTACATGGCCTGAGAGTGGTGAGATCGTCTTCAACAATGTCGATATGCGGTATAGAGAGAACCTTCCGTTAGTATTGTCCGGCCTATCAATGCACGTAAAAGGTGGCGAACGAATTGGGGTGGTTGGTCGTACGGGTGCTGGAAAATCAAGTATCATGTCTACTCTCTTCCGACTTGTTGAGATTTCCGGTGGTTCAATTACTGTTGATGGTGTAGATATTAGCAAGATTGGACTTCACGACCTCCGATCTCGTCTTGCTATTATCCCACAAGATCCTACCCTATTCAAAGGAACCATCAGAAGTAACCTAGATCCTTTCAGCCAACACAGTGATTTGGAACTTTGGTCCGCACTACGACAGTCTGACCTTGTGGCCTCAGACTCAAATCTCGAAGACGAAGTCACAGGGCGTATACATCTCGATTCCGTAGTCGAAGATGAAGGATTGAACTATTCGCTAGGCCAAAGACAATTGATGGCGCTTGCACGTGCTCTTGTCCGTGGTTCGCAAATCATTGTTTGTGACGAAGCTACAAGTTCTGTTGATATGGAAACGGACGAGAAGATTCAAAGAACTATTCAAGAGGGGTTCAGAGGCAAGACGCTTTTGTGTATTGCTCATAGACTTAAGACCATTATCGGATATGATCGCATTTGCGTGATGGATAAGGGAACAATTGCAGAATTAGATGAGCCAGTTAAGCTATGGGAGCAAGGAGGCATCTTTAGGGCCATGTGTGATAGAAGTGGTATCCGAAAAGAGGATTTTGCAAGGGCGGCAGTTCCGACCGGGATCACGAAAATCGAGTAGGAGATTAATATATTGACGAATTAGTGGATATTGTATGTATGATGACGAAAGATGGTAATGTTATATGGTATACATGCATTTCATGTGCATTTTCGGGCGTTAGGGAGAAAGATGAGATGAGCGAGCATTTGAAAGTTTTGGGTTGAAAATTCGCTTGAATGCTATTGTCAGAATGTCATTGCTAGACGGGGTCTCATAGCAAAGTGTAGAGAACGATACGATACATAAATCTAATCAGAAAGCAAAGGACGCTTAAGGAAAAGAATACTATATATATGTGATTAAGTGCGATTTGCCGTTCAAGTCATCTCATCCTTCCATGCAATTTCAATCTCTTGAGCGTTTTCATTCTTCCAAGCGTTGCCATGTATTACATTCTCCGAGTGGGTGAAGGTGGTAAAGCCTGATCCTGACCAAGTATTTTCTCCGCTCAATGTTGCAATAACGAATCTTTTTACCCAGCACATATAAGCACATATAGATTGCGAATCCTCAAAGACGGAAAGCAGCCCGAGTCTGGAAGGAAGTGGAGTACAAAAAATGGCTGGGATTCGTAGCATCAATCCTTCATAAAACCTGGTTCGGACGGTTCGGATAGCTATGAAATTTCCGGATATGTCGCTGTACAGGGTTTTAAACGAGGCGAGCGCGTCCATATGCAATACAAATCAGATGCGGTCTAATTATCGCTGATTGTGATTGGTGAGTTGATACGGGATCTTTTGATGGGAATTGTTTATGAAGCCGGGGCGTCCCCTTTTGATGGATTTTCGTTTTCGATTTTTGGATTTTTTGCTACTTTTCTTGTGTCGGTTTCTATACATATACTTCGGGATACATAAAATCTTACACTCTTCACACCTACTCATACATTTTTTCCGCATCATCCGACCCGCTGTCAAAATTCTTCATCTGTATCCACTTCATAAACTCACAAGCTCTCTCGCTAATCTCGGGTATCCACTATCCCCATAACATCACGATTAAATCGCCCCTCCCATTGCATTTATTTCGATTCCTCAACTATCTTGCCAACCTACACCAGACCTCCCGCCTTCCACGCCTTCCACCCCTCGGAGTCATGCCCTGCACGGAACTTGCGCTTCTTCCCCTCACGTCCCCGCTTTCTCCCTGCCTGATCCCCAAACTCCGCACTTGCAAGCGTGTGCTAGAGAGAGCGTCGGGATACCCTTGTCATTTCTATCAACAGGTGGAAAATCCTTCGTATATGTATATTGTCGGGACGTGGGAAAGTCCGGGGCATCATGAGAGATTCCTGCCGAGTGTGGAGAATCTGGGACTTTTTGATCTGTTGAGGGGGGAGGTGGTGCTGGGGGTGGGGATTGGAGAGACGGTGGAGGGGAGGGGGATCAGGATGTGGCATTGTGAGTGTGGGTTTTTTTTATTGTTTACTATTCTGTGTCTTTGTGTTTTGAGGGTTAGGGTTGGGGCTGGGGTTGGGGTTAGGACTCAGGAGTAGCTTTCTGCATAATGTTGGGTTGGGTTTGATTACTAATTTTATGATGCTACAGTAGAAGGCGATGCACTCAGTTGCCTCCGGACAGGAATAGATGAAGGAATCGGAGAAGAAGACGCAAAGAAAAAATCTCCCTTCAGTGCGCCCATCATATCATGTAATAGACATTACATATCATCCCACAACAGGGAAGGATTTAGTGCAAAGTTTAACGAGGTAAAACATGCGTTAGAAAACGAAACGAAAGAGTATGAGATCGAGGGTGGGTGGAGGATAGAAAAGGAGGCGGAAGATAAGGAGGAATGGGTTATGTTTTGTGGATGGGAGAGTGTGGAGAAACACATGGCTTTTAGTAAGAAGGAGAGCTTTAAAGAATGGAGTGGGATTGTGGATTGGGTGGAGGGGTTTGAGGTTAGGCATTTAAGATTGATTGAGGGGTTGTGATTTGGGATCCCTTGGAAGAAAAATGGTGGAATGGATGTTTGATTTTAGATCAAAGCGACTTGGTTTGACTGCGCGCCAGACAGTAGGTATTCGAATGACGACTACTCTTGGTTACATGTATTCATGTTTAGTGTTGACATTACCCTCGGTTGATACCTTATTAATGGAACAATGGGAACTTCTCTTCCCGAGCATTGAAAGTTGAAATACAAGAATCATTGAAACGTGTTATACATATATTTGAACGTCCGTATATCTTCGGTTCAACCGTCAAAACAATTTCGGATCTAGTGAATAATTAACAAGCCGTCCCAAAGTTCCAAACTTGAGAGGGAAAATCGAAGTGATTCCAGCGCCACGTGATCTTGAAGTGTTCAAGTTCACTAAAGCTAAAAGAACGATCGGATAGAATTCAGATTTTCAAGAACTTTCTTTACAAATCTGCAGAAAAAGTGTCAGACATGCAATGAAACATTTGCATAGGAAATCAGATATCGATCCAATGAATTCCCACTGTAAATACGAGTTCAACCATTAAATCACCTATGTAATTAGCTTCATTTGGCGAAAAGATCTAGCGCAAAACAATTACAGTATAGTTTGGCATCAATCTCTCGCTTTTGTTCGTTTGAATTCGAGAAACTTTACTCCTGAGATTAGCGTCCACTCTTTAAAATCACGTGGTCGTGTCCTGTTTCCGAATTTTCTGTCTCAGGAAAATATACCAATACACATACATATTACACAGATCAAGATGTTGATCAACGAACATACAGGTAATGCATCTTTTCCGTCTTTGATCTTCTCATCAAAGAACTAACATATGTCAGCCGTTTCCACGAACAAAATACTGTTAGTACCATATGAAGAATCACACGTGATTACATATCATGAGTGGATGAAAGATGAGGTAGGCATTTGTGTTATACATGTATATGCAATACATGAACTGTTTTCAAGAACTCAGGGAGGGATTAATATGATTCTAGGAAATTCAACAAGCAACCGCCTCTGAGCCTCTGACTCTCGAGGAAGAATATGACATGCAAAGGAGTTGGAGGACGGATCATGATAAATTGACTTTTATTATCTGTTTACCCGAAGAAAAAAATGCATCGCCAGAGATGAGAAAAGGCGTATCAGATGCACCTGCGAAGATGATAGGGGATGTTAATTTGTTCATCACGGAAGCAGATGAGGATGAAGAAGGATGTATAGGAGAAATTGAAATTGTGATTGCGGAACGCAACGCAAGAGGTAAGGGATTGGGAAGGTCGGCAGTGGTTGCTTTTCTTGAATATTTAAGGAGCAATCTGGAAAATGTTTTGGAGGAGTATGGGAAGGGTATCAAGGGGAAGAAGGAAGAGGGGAAAATAAAGTTGCTGCAGTTGAGGGTTAAGATTGGAGGGAAGAATGTCGCAAGTATTGGACTTTTTGAAAGCGTGGGGTTTGTGAAGGTTGGGGAGGGAGAGAATTATTTTGGTGAGGTGGAACTGGTTTTCGAGGGGTGGTGTGGGGAGGAAAGGGTGAAGGGCTTGATGGAAAGTTTTGGGGTGGAGGGATATCGGGAGTGTGGTTATAGATAATGTAAATTTACATTCGAAAGTCATTAAATGTTTCTTGCCTTTTGACGTGCTGCGACGTGCTGCTGCAAATGCGAGTATTCGCTTAAGATGAAGGTTGTTTTCTGTATTTAGGTACCACAAGATGATTATCAAATATGTCTCCTGAACTGTACTATGGGCCCGTCCCTAAAATTGACATACGCATATCTCAACAAGATTGTATTCCTCATGTCAATCGCAACTCCTGGCTCTTCTTTGTCCCCGCCCGTCTCGTCAACCTTTAAGAATCTAAGAACCATCCTCCAAAGTCGTTCTGGCCACCCAGATCAACAATTCCTGCATTACAACTTTCATGCCTACACAATAGCCAGCCCCATTCTGAAAGAAATTGAAACCCACCTTCGTACGCGCCACATCCTCCACCGACACATCTACTCCCTTACTGAACGCACTTTCCATTTATTTTTTAGGACGAAATACCCACGGATGCCCGAAGATCTCTTGTTTGTGCATCATCCACCATCCAGTCACCGCTACACCAAGACCAGCTGCCATGAATCACGCATCAATATATGTACCACCCGGTAATACTTCTCTCGGCAACTGCGAAAGTCCAGTGGTTTCTGTTCGCAGAGCCTCATCAATACATGCGTTGAGACTTGGTCTCTTATGATACCATCTGCACTCGAGCATGTCCGATCCAATCATGTAGATCCAAGCACATAAAAACAGAACCTAATTTTAGCAACCGCAGTTGTATTTGTTCCAGCAACTACGAGAAGACTCGCTTCAACTGTAAAAAATTCATCCTTTGTGTGACTAGGCGCACCAGTGTCTGCGGTAGTTGAGAAGAGGCAGCGGGACATACATTCCCTGCCATGTTTCCCAAGCGCTTTGAGACTCTCGTCCTCTTGTCGTGTTGCGACACTATCATCGAGGACAATGAAGTGATCTTTTACTTTCTGTAGTGTGATACGATGAAAAATTGCACCCAGACCGCGGGGTTTGAGTCATGTCTATAGGAGCCGGATCGGGAGTGAGCGATCTATGTTAGGTTAGCAAACTTTTTGGGGTAGCAATGAAAAACTTAGCGGGTACATAAACCCATTGTGTTCGGCGCTAGGTAAGATGTCAGTGTCAAATTCTTTGTAGTTTCGCTCATACTAAAAGGTGACAGTCGGCAGCTCGTCTTTGCCCCTAAGGAACCATAAAGACCGTATATCACGGTTATTAGTGCCATACCCCATACGGGCATACATTTTTTACATTATGATTTTTTAATTGCAATTATTCAAACTTCTGTTTGCCCTATTTAGCATATAGACTTTGTGATAGTAACATGAGATGTAAGAACAATCTGCGCATGTAAGTATGACAGCAGCCGAACGTCCAACATATGGATTCTTCATAAAAGTCCTAATTGGAGGCTCGCGTTCTTCTCAGCAGAATCAATAACAGAAGCAAAATTACTTGAAAGTCTACCACACTTTGCTGACTTTCACATCAGGTCAATAAGCTCAACTTTTGCAACTGCCTCAGAGAATGGATCTGGTAATGCCTGTGCGAAGACTCGAACAGTGTACCCAGGGGCTCATGTAATGCTTGCAAACTTTTAGTTGAGCTGGTTCAGGTGGTAGCACTATCAGTGGGTGTACGGATTGACGGGATACTACAAAAATTGACTTTGTGGATATCTTCTGATATACATCGACCCGTATATCTTAGGATTTATTTCAATTATTTATTAGAAATAAAACAATCAAAATATGAGATTTGATATCAAATAATCGAAGAATGAATTTGTTAAATAGATTGGAAATTGAGAAATGTCCTGTCAATCCACGCATCCACTGGTGCATCTAGTTGTTGAAGCTATTGTCTTGTATAATTCATCCAGATTTTGTATCCACACAAAGGTACTTCACGTGGTTCAGGCCCTCTCAAGATAAAGTCAACATATTTATGTTAAATATCTCAAGAGAGCTACGCCGAGGGGACTTCGATGTGAATGAGGAGTAGCAAGAAAAAAAAAGGAAGAAATGGCCGAGGCTCAACTAAAGAGTATCTGAGGAGGCATCTCGGGCCAGAAGCCAAAGCGATGGCAGCATACATAAAAACACAACTAGCAAGGAGTCAGAACCAAAATTTGACTATGACTAGGTACCTATTGGATGCGTGCATTGTTCACTGAGTTCGCAGCTACCGACTTACCACGCGGTGTTTATTTACTAAACTCTACCCAGAGATTTTAAAGTCGGGAGAAAAAAGAAGCTCATGCTCAAAACATTGCCTTGACATGGCTCACTATCACTATCACTGTGATTCCAAAACCTCATCCTTTTGAAATCCATCCCCACATTAATTAATATCTCCCTTACGCATCTTACATCCTATGTTTAATCCCATTCCCTGACTGTGAAAAGTTTGTGTGTTCTTACTCAACAAGAATATTACCAAACGCATCAGAGATTTCTCTCCGTGAAGGCGGCAATTGCATTTCAGGCTGCGTCGAAATACCAACGGCAAGTCTTTCCTCCATAAGCTTAATTAGAACGGGTGGAACACTTTCATCTGTTGCTCTGATGGTGAGGCGAACCATCTGAATGTCATAGTTAGCACTAGAAGCTTGAGGGAATGGGGAATACCAACCTGGGTTCCATAATTCGGCTCCAGTCTTAATAAACAACCAAATTTGCCTCCCTCACCAGTATGCAACACACTGGCACCAACAAAGTTCTTCTTATTAGGGTCCACACCATCCAAGATACCCCATCTAAAACCATCTATGGTCTTACGAACAAATCCATCAGTGAATTCACGGCTTCCGCCCTTACCACCCTTGACACCAAAGATGCGTTGAGCTTCACGTGGCGCTCCTCCAATTTGCTTCCATCGTTTGAAGAAATCATCTGCTGACAATTCTGCAGGATCCATAAATTTGTGTATGGTTATTGGAAGTTTCAGTGTCAAAGCTTGGAGAGCTCCAGCCAGGTAACTGATTCTAATCGTTGGACTCTTTTCAAACACCTTTTTAGACTCGAACATTATCATTTGTTGACTTTGTGCACCTTGATGAATTGTGCTTTCCGGCAGACCTTTTACTTCCCATGACAGGTTCTCCTTCTCGCCGGGTTCGAGATCAAGTGTTGTGGTAAACGAACTGACAGGAGATGGGGCTTTGTTAGAGAAATATAAGATGACACATGCCATTTGGCCACGATATTCAGATCGTACTCCGATTTGGATTTGCCCATCTTCATAAAGAACTCCCTCCGATTTGAGAAGAAGTTTGTTATATCCAATCTCCCAATCCGGTGAAAGATGGGCTGCGCTTGCTAAGTTTGGCGCTTTAAGGGTTTTTGGTTCTGACGGACCTTGATCCATAAGATCCAAGCCAGCAAGATCGTTGCTGGAGCCATTGTTGTGTCCGTTAGTGCCGTTGATCCCCCCGTTCGCACCGGCGGCACTGGGCTTGGCTCCATTAGTACTGAAAGTACGCTTGAGACCTGGATTCTTGGCAACGACAAAATCTTTCTCATTAGCATTAGCATCTTTGCCTCCCACAATCCAAGTTCGCTTATCACTAGTTCCAGCATGCTTTTGATGTAGCCGTGAAAGTAGTGCTGACTGACGTTCCGGAAAGGGTGGCATTTCGTCGCAGACCGTTCGGAGAAGATCATCAGTTGGTAAGCTTGCCAAGGCCAAGTATTCGCAAGCTCTTTGCTGAAGCTCAGAGTCCAGGGTGTGACTGTATGCTTGGAATACATACATAAGTCGAGGTTTAATCTCTGGGAAAAGATTGACGAATTTGATAAAAGATGATAATATAATGGCCCTTGTACTGGATGAGCAGCCTTGTAGTTTTCCCTGTAATGCAAGGTACTGCTCGATTGGGCTACAACCTTTGTCCTCTGCAATCAAGTGGCCAAATTCGCCAAGTATGTATCCGCCGATCTTCACAAGTGTCTCGTGACAGTGGTCCGCTTTTACATACTGTAAAATGTTCTGTGCTGCATACACTTGAAGCTCTTCGTTATTGGTAACGATTTGAATGACTCGGTGCCAAACCTCATCACTGACATGGTCTCCCGCCATTGCAATGAGTCGCAATGATATGTCAACATACCACTGAATGTCAGTAGCGTATTTCTCGGTCAAAATGGCAATCTTTAGGACCATTTCCTCTCGGATTGCAAAATCCGCGTTCTGAAGATATTGCAAGAGCTCGCCAACAATTGGTTGTGCGTTAGTTTGGTCACACATGCTGTATAGCAAATCTAAACCTTTCCTCCGTACACTGATATCTCTATCCTTCAAGGACCCAATGATAATTGCTTGATGTTGCTTAATAGGATCTAATATATCAGCTCTTGCAGCCAAATGTGTCATGGCTTCCAAGCCGAGATAGCGAACATTGGTCTCCCGTGACTGGATGAATTTTCCGAGTCTCGTTGAGATTTGTTTCATCAGGTCTACTTCGGTATCAAGATGAATGACAAGGTTTATGGCCTCGAATAAAACAGCATTCTGCGCATTGTTCTGCTGAACGTTCTTAGGCATATCAGATGCATCATCCAGGATTTTTTGTATGGACTGTCGAATCAAATTTCTGACGTGTGTATCCTCTGACAATTGTTAGTATATATGTGGCTGCGGATAGTGGAACATACCTGATGCGGGATAATATTGTAACAATCTTAGAAGTTTCATTTGAAGCCACGGGCAGGGTACCTTATAATAAAGATAGTCCTGGGTGAACTCTTGGTCCACGACTATCCTTTTGACTCTTGCTGCAGCTTTAACATAGCATCCTTTGTATTGATCGAGATTGTCTTGAGCAAGAGCCATCACGAGGGAGGTGACCGAGAGAGCAACACCAATGTCAACATCGTCCATTAGAGATATTATCCTTTCCGCCCATTGCGGTTGCACTATGTCGGGATGCTTTCGATAGAGTCTGAGGAGAGTCAAAGCTGCCTTCTTTTTGACGAACGATTTGGATGTCCTGCTGTGGTATTAGAGACAATACAGAACGAAGATGAAGCGAGCTTTCTCACGGTGATATCAGGAGCCTGTGGACCTCCCCACTCAGCGCCTCTCCCATTTCCCTTCCACCCACATTAGCAATGGCATGCAATGCCAAACAGTTATATAATTCATTGTGGTCCGTCAAATCTTTCCGGATACTGTTCACGACTAAATGTATCAATTCGTGCCCTTCGTGAAGAAACAAGGTCATTGCCAGGTATCCAATTTGCTTTTCCGAGTATTTATTGGCAGATATAAGGTTGACCGCTTCGAGATGGCCGAAATCGACATTCCACCCCAGGATATATATGTATAAGAGCTAGAATGATGTTTATTAGAGGTATATCAGTGAAAGGCGGTCGAACGAATTACCTTGCAGACATATTTTTTCTTATGATAGCCACTGAGATTTCCATCTGTTCGTCACAATTAGCTACACCCCTTTATTCTAGGCAAGATTTCAGACCTTTGAATTTCTGTCTTGAATGAGGAATAAAAGTCAGCCTTGCATGAGAAACCTTGGACCTGCAGAGGAGTAATAACGAACCTTATGTTCGCCAGTTCCTTATTGATTCTCTTTTCTTCAAGCTCTCTAGCTCTGGCATTTCTAAGATCTGCAATGAACTGCACGAGACCCCGCATATTTGAGTTATTGCTGGAGCTCCCACGGCCCAGAAAGCCTCCTGCAGAGGACGCCATCGTTGCCGTCTTTCTATCGGCCTTCTGAATCGAGTCGTATGCTCTTGCGGCCGGAGGACAAATGGGGACGATGGTCCAGCGCGCGCCTATACCCAATTGTCAAAGTTGTTTGTCGGTCTCTGATTGTAATTCTTTCCACGGACTCCGGATTGTGTTGGCAAATCACTGGTGCTTTTCGAAATACGCTGTTGGCTGCGGAAACTTAGCCTTGCTCGTGATCCGCCATCCGCAAAATATTATGGCGTATTCGCCCTTTTTCCTTCGAGATATCAAACGCAAAGATGTTTGTTGTTGATGAATTCCTGGTGAGATTGGAATTGAGAGAGGCTTCAATTGTACTGAGTTTCCACCCCGTACGCGCGACATAAGGGACATCGTTTCTAGGGAATAACAGGGATTAATTTCTTAGGTAAGGTAAGGCTCTAGTCTCAAACTTAGCCTTGCTTGCAAATGATTATCCTTAACGTCACCATTTATAAACTTTGATATCTGATCCTTTTGACTTGAGTGTTGTCAACGATGTTCTTTTTATTTATATAATTGCCTACAATATAATTCTCCCTCAATCATGAAGTCTTTAGCTTTACGACCGTTTCTTCCAAGGCCATCGATAACAAGAAGACTATGTATATCTCGAAATTATGCAGTTCAATCCCCGGGATCACCTACTTTGCAGGTCTTCGATAGACATACTAAATATTTACAAAAAGAACGTGCAGCTTTAGACAAGGAGAAAAGTAGACAGGTGGATTATCTGAAGGATGAAGTAGCCATGCGACTTTCAGAAAGGTTATTGGTGAGATTATTCCGTTCAATTGAGATCAAGTAGCTTATAATGTTGTAGGATATCAATAGGCATTTTGATCATGTCCTAGATCTTGGCGCAAATTCATGTAACATAGCAAGGGCTCTCACTTTACCAGATCCAGACATTGACCTTTCGAAAACTACGTCTCCTCCACTTTCCTCCCGTATCGCCCGTCTTACAGCTGCAGATTCATCTCGGAATATGTTATACCGCGACGAAGATTTGCCATTTAATAAGGAAATAAACCTCACACGCGAAGTGCTCGACGATGAGGAAAGATTACCTTATGAATCTGGAACATTCGATGCAGTGCTGAGCTCTTTGAGCATGCATTGGATCAACGACCTTCCATCACTCCTTGCGCAAATCAATCACGTATTGAAGCCTGATGCACCATTTATGGCAGCAATGTTTGGTGGCGATACATTATTCGAATTACGAACGTCATTGCAGCTCGCAGATATGGAACGAAGAGGTGGAGTTTCTCCGCACGTTTCTCCGCTGGCGGATGTAAGAGACATTGGGGGTTTGTTGCAGAAAGCGGGGTTCAAGATGTTAACGGTAGATATCGACGACATCATTATTGATTTTCCTGACACGTTTGCCCTGATGCAAGATTTACAACAGATGGGCGAAAGCAATGCCATATTAGGAAGGGAGGCAGGTGCAATCAAGAAGGATGTACTTCTTGCAAACGAGGGAATATATCGAGAGTTACATGGAAACGAAGATGGTACAATACCCGCAACATTTAGGATGATATACATGATCGGCTGGAAGGAAGGACCTAACCAGGCACAACCATTACCCCGAGGTAGTGGGGAAATCAATATAAAAGATATTCTTGGTGGCGGAGAGGTCAAATGAATAGTCACAAATAAGAATAAACTATAATAGTTGCGCTGTAAAGTGCTTTAGAAAGTGCAATATACAAATCTATATTTGCATTTTCATTCTTCGTCGGGGAATCTAAGGGTGCAAAGTTTCTAATTACGTTCTCTACACCCATCATCCACAGATATGTCCTAAAAACCTACTCATTTGACCCCGCCTCTATGGAAGAATGTCAAAGCCGCAAGTGCGAAGGCATCTACAGCAGTAGTCATTGTTGGCTAGATCTTTGGCGCAAAGAATGCGGAACGATTATGGGGAATGTCCTCCATGGTTTCTTTAAACTTTGCCTCTTCCCAAGTATCCTCGTCGACACAACCAAAGTTGTAGAAAACATAAGGAGCATCACACCCCAACGCCAAGTACGAGATATCCTCGCTGGCACCAAAATGATCAGCTGGAATCAAGTTCCTTCCAAAATATTCTCCAAAAGATTTCTTCAGTATTTCTGCCTCTGGAAAATCATTGACGGTGGGAGGGGCATGCATAGTCGTTGTAAATATCGGTTCTCTTATGGCGAGAGAACCAGAAATCTCGCACTCCGAGTAAACGACGCGTTTGACCGCTTCAACTAAGCGTTCGTGAATGCTTGGATTGTATGACCGGATTGAAATTTTCAGATCCACAAAATCTGGGATGATATTTGCTGTACTGCCAACATGAATACTGGCACATCCAATGACCGCAAATTCTTCTGGTCGCACTACTTTTGTGACAATACTTTGTATCGCACCACGATATGACTGGCAGTCACAACGGGGTCAACAAACAAGTCGGCACGACAAATATGCCCACTCTTCCCAAAATCCGTACATCGAATGAATCCACTGCTGTTAAGATCGCACCTCCCCCAAGCGCAATCATACCAGCTTTGAAAGCATGCGTGTGTTGTCCAAGTACTATATCTGGCTTAGGGACAGTTCGGGGTTGAATATACTCCACTTAAGCCTGTGCACAGACCACCACCCCAAAAAGTTTATAATCTCTGAATAGCTTCAAAAGCTTCAAAAGCTTCAAAATTCACATTTTAATTAGGATTCTAAAAGCTGCGCAGCACGAGCGTAGGCGTAGGTCCTGAGTGGCGTTAAAAATAACTACGGAGAGCGCTAGCGAGGCCGTTGTTATTTTTAGCCACGAAGGGCCGAGAAAAAGCTCGTCTCTATATAATAATATAATAAATATATTTTATTAATTATAATAAGTCTAAAAATTATAATATAAAGAACTTAGAATTAAGACTAGAGCATTATACTAATTTGCTTAAGAACTTCTTCTCGTAAATCTAAAGATAATAAAATACTAGATATATAATTTTTTTTTTTAAGTTTCGTTATATCTCTAGTAAGATTCAACTGTTTTAATAGAATTGAACATCTAAATACGCGAGTTTAGCTGTATGAGATTACTATAGCTAAGATAATTTCAGTAAGCAGGATTAATCTATTAATAGAGGATCGAGCGTATGATGTTATACTATATATATGCATGATCATGATTCGTGCGGTTGAAGTGTTTTCAAATCAAAATGCTCGATAGAAGCAACGTAGGCAAGTGTATACTATATCGTCAACCAGCAGCGCATGGTGGTGTAGTGGTAAATTCTCGATGCATTCAGTCTATCTATCAGTAGCGCCGCATATTGAAGGAGGATTGTATCATTTTCTGTAATCATCCTTCTGATTAATGATTTAATTAATTTCAGTAATTTGCCGTAATTTGTAATGCTCATCAACTAAGGAAGCGTGAAGTGCTCAAGTCTGATAAGTCTTTCCATTGACGGAGGACTAGGTGAGTAAATAAGGTTTTCGATGGAAGCTTGATAAAGCATCACATGATAAGACCACCGGGCTACGGAATAATTGAGGCTCTCTATACGTAGGAGAAAAAACGGGCCGGAATTGACCAATGCTCTCTACTCGTTGTTTTGGTGAGGGTGCACGTACCATTGCGTAGTGGTCAATTCCGGCCTGTTTTTTCTCCTACGTATAGGCTCTCCACACAAGCATTGCCAATTAAACGGTGAAGCACTGGCAGTCAACTTTAATTTTGTCATTATGAGAAATATCGTTTTCCAAATATAAGGTTATGCAATCAATCCGACAGCCGTGTAGTGATTGAGAAATTTTATTGGCTGGGCTCTTTCGCAGAAGCTTCGGATATTTGCAGATGAAAGCTTATAATTTGGCTAGCTTATGATAACACGACATTTGTATAAGAGTGTCACATTCCCCCACATTCTCGGATGCGGATGAATGATTCAATGACGATCTATGCCCGATTACCGGTACTTTCATGCGACCACATCCTCCGTGGCGCGTCCACAAGTCCACACCGTTGATGAGTGGGCTCGTGGGCTAATCTCGAGAAGTACAGATACGGAGTATACAGAGTATGTGTTGAAGGGTTAAGACCCTGGCTTCGATACCTTGGCGTCAATTACAGTTTGTCAGGCCGTATGCGCAAAGGAAACAAGGACAGTGAGGCTGAATGTTTAAATCCACTGTTCAGAACTTGCCTGCCCTTGTTTCAACTCAAACTCCGAGTCTGAACTCTCATGAGGTTCGCTTTCGGGTGATCATCGGTCCATATCTGTGCATGATGAAAATGGATGGTTAAAGAGAATTAAACGTCGACAGGTAGGAATACCGTCAAGATGTTATTGAGTTCTAGGGTGGGGAGGCAGGAATTCTAGTCGGCGGGTTTGTACGGTTCAACAACGGGTGACATACAAGAGCGCTAATGCTAGGATGAATTGTGGGCGGTTTTGGGTAGGAAGTTGTCGATGCAGGTATCGATCCCGGCTTCATACCGGCCCCATGGTGAGATTAAGATCATGCGAGAAACCCGAATAGATCGTCAACTGTGAGAAAGTTGTATAAGAAGACGACTTGCTCCAGCTGAAGGACACACTCTCTACCAACTACCTCTCCAACAACATTCAAAACATAATCTACACTTCACCAATTTTATCCAAAGTTCATTTCACTACCGTCAAAATGGTCCGCATCTCCTCTATCGTCATGTTCTTCCTTGCGAGCGCGTTATCAGTGCAAGCATGCACCTATTGTCAGTGCGAATTCTCAAATGGTGACCACTGCTGTGTCTATTCGGTAAGTCCTAGAAGGCCTTAAGCCTGTATCCATGAAGGTGTAATCACCCCGTGTTCTGACATTTTGAATAGGACGCTGAAATTGGCAGCCTCGATTGCACCACCTATTGCGCCAATGCTCATCGCGCAGATGGTGCAGATAGTTCAACTGGGCCCGGAACTGCATGCGCAGCTGGAGGAAAATACGAGTGCGCGAGTGCCTTCACAGCTTTGGACCGTACCCCATGTTACAAGCAGTAAGAACTTTGCGGCGGACGGAGAGTTCTGAAAGATGATTGGAGGAATGGTTCCATGGGATTCGCACTATTGTGTCTCAAAACTCTCCTCATTTTGTTGTTTTTGCAGAGTTGGATGGTCGAGAGTCTGGGGTAGAGAATAGAAGACAATCAGATGCTGCGGTTGAAACGATGATTTCATAATTGGTGCTTGATTAATTGCTTCGCTGTGAGACATAACGCTAGTTAGTTACAATGAGTGCATAACTGCAATAGCCAGAAAATAGTGATGTCGAGTCTAATGAATACTTAAACTTGTCTTTCGTTTTCGGATATGTATGTACGTAAAGCGTAATGAAATTGTTTCCTGCCCCTTTGGTTGTTTCTGATAAAGCATCAGACACTGAACTCTCACTTGGAAAGCTGGTTCCATAACTACGTATATTCTCTTTTTGAAATCAGGAACACATCATGAGATTGGGGGTATTGACACAAGTGAACTTAACAAAATCAAGTGTGGGTGCAGACGTAAACACCTGGAGATGAAAAAACAAACCATAGATTCCTTGTATGTATGTTGTTTCCATGCCTACTATTTGCGATAAGATCGTATGCAAGAGCAGATGGACATTGTGTACATCCATAGATACGATACCTAGTAGGTCGATTAGACACATAGATACATTAGACACAAAGGTAAGGTATATATCAATATCAACGTCGTAAATAATATTGATGGAGAATACAATTGTGTAGTTACATAATATGAAATTGTGACCAATGCGTGCCTAGCTCTACGTAAGCGAAAAAACAGACGGAAATTAAGTACTCTTTCAAAGGACTTTTTAATAGATTATAAATTCATTTCAAACTAAATATTGAAATTTGAAAAAAGCAAACGAAAATTTGAGTCTTCTTTATATTTACATTAAGTATTTTTATTATTTAATATTATATCGAAAAGAGATCTTAGTTGTTAAAGGTCTTTTAAATCGTGATCAATTCCCGTCTGTTTTTTTGCTTACGTAGAGCCTAGTTAAGGTTAGGTCGTGGGGGCGTGTCACGTGTTTGTGCATTTATCATTTCTATCATTGATGACCATCCGCTTTCACTCTGGAATCATGTGTGCTGAGCATTGAGACATAAGCAAAACTTGAATCTATCGCAGGGTCCTAGGGTCAAACTGTATTGTTGACTGTTTTTGCACAATTGAAGAATGTCAGACCAATGCAGATTATTGTCGTCTCTAGTGAAGCGATTTTGTCGGGTGATTTGGATAATTTACTGCCATTTGGAAATCCAAAAACCATCAAGTGATGAGTATCATAATGTTGCATACCATCGACCAAATACATAGCTTAGTATGCCTTGAATATATGATTCAAAGGTTGCCTACGCCAGATACGTGACCGGATCTCTCAGAGCATATATTTTGATTGCTTCTATGAAGTAAAGTATTCCGAAAAAGAAGTATGAAAGAGTTTCCCGATATAAAAGATGAGCTTCGGGAGAGTTTCTTCCAGGTTCCTTCCTTTCCTCCGCGGACGGGTTTACCTGGACTCTTCTGGTAATAGCCAGCTTGTGATGTGAAGACAACTATAGCATATATCTATCATGAAGCGCGATGCCATAGTAAATCACTCATACCTAGACATTTCCATCTCGGATCTAGGCTTGCGTCAACAATGAGCAGATACATCCAAGTCCCGATGTATGACTCATGAAAGACATCCATCATTATTTAGCCGATGTCACTCAATAGCCGGCTCTAGATGTGCCAAGTGCTCAAGACTATAGAATATTATCATGCATACTCTCTTAAGATCTTGAGGGGGATGTATTTGTGATTTGGAGCGAGGTGAAACATTTTGCATTCTAGCACATTTATAGTCACTTGAGAACATTCATGTCACGAAGAATATTGATATATTCTACGCGCTCATACTATACAGTTGAGAGCAGAAGCTTAGAATTCTTAAAGATAATAAATCATTCTTTGACAAAATCTGATCTTGAAGAACTTAGTGTAGATTTATACAACCAGCGACGGTGGTATATATCTTGGCTTTACTCCAATCTGCAGAGCAGAGTGATTGGTTTTACAGGTTACAGTATAAAGCTCTGATATGCTTCGAAGCTATGGTAGAGATCTTTCACAAGGAAGAGATCAGATAGTCAGGGAAAATGGGACACTACTCCTAGATGATCTCATTCCTTTCATCGATACCGCATAGATGGAGTAGAACATTTTGGTATATTCTCTAGTCGCAACTATTAGATAGGCTTTGATCAACGTAAACAATTCTAGTTAGTACTAAACTGAAATTCATTTCTAATTCAGAAGAAAAAAAATGTTATTGATCTTGAACAGTCAGATTGTCTCATCTAGTGTGCAGACCCATGAGATCAGATCAATTTCACGACCATTTGAATCTATTTATGTTGCCCCCAATGCCATCACACTATCATGGTCCTTATGATTTAGAGACATATTCCTTATGTACTCTGATATTCTAGGTTGTGGTACTCATGAATCATGGTTAATCAAATCAATTCCAAAAGCAATAAATGGTTTTCATAAATCTTTCATTTCGTATTCATTCGTAGTATTCATCTCTATGCCTTTTCATCCGCCATCAAACTCAAAAATAATACCCAACTCATTTAGTAGTAGTAAAAACATCATACTATGAATTCTCTCTACCCAAATCACGCTAGAGTCTAAGCTGCGCGGATATAGAGGAGGCTATATCTATCTAACCATCAACCCAATGCTCAAACAAAATCCGAAAATCCTATATCTCGTATCACCCCCAAAATTTTGTGAAGAAAATTAATCTCTCCCAATCTCCCAATCTCCCAATCCTCTCAATTCCTTCGGAAACGTCCGCGATCCTTAAAACGCTTAGAATCAGGAAGATGACCTCGAATACCCAGCAAGTTGCCAGGAACTTTATTATCCGTATGCTCATTCATAATCCTCAACCACTCCTTATTATGCTCCGCCTCCGCCTTCTTCTTTTCTTCACCCACAAGCTTATTGGAAGTATCGAACTTATTACTCCAAACATATCCTCCTTTGCCATCTGGAACAGACTTTCTTGGTGCATCCCCCGCAATAGTAATCCGTGCCTTCTTGATGACATGTTCCCTAGTAGAAGAAACAGCTGGTGCTTCAGGAGCAGCTCGCTTTCTGGAATTCAAAGCCCGAGTTGAATTAATCGCGGCAGCGACATTGGAAGGGCGAGTCGTCTTTCTACCTTGATCGTAGGCCGAGACTCGCTTTTCGGGTGCTTGGATGGAAGCAACGGGTTTCTTGGCGGCGAGAAGCTTTCTTCTGTCGATAGTAGGCTTCTGTATGACGGGAGCTCGCATGACTTCAGCCTCTCTGGTGGTAATAGTAGTAGCTACTTTTGCCTTCTGACGAATTTGTCTCTTCTGCATATCGATCTCCGAAACTTGTCGCGAAATGATGGCATTGGCTCGAGTAACAAGCTCAGTCTGGGCTTTGAACTCAGCATTGTGGCGTTCCTTATCTTCCTCCCGCGAGGTCTTTTCCTGTGCCAGCAGCTTTCTCAAACCATCGTTGGTGTTCTTTTGGTCCTCCAATTGCTTTGTCAGAACTTCATTGGCCTTTCTCTGATCCTTCAATCTCTGGTATCGAGCATCGGTCTTCTTCTTGATCCGAGCTTCATCTTCGCGGCGTTGGATAGCCTTCTTTTCCTCAAGCTTGCGACGTCTAACATCTGCTTGGTGCAATCCCTTTTGCAATGCGAGCTCTTGTGTTAATGCTTTGTTGGCAGCTTCCAGCTCTTGTATAGAAAGTGGAATAGCAGCCATATCTGGAGAAACAGAACCAGAGAGAGTCTTGGTGGCCGGCGCAGAAGCTTTGATGATAGAAGAATTGTTCGAATCAGCTAAAGAAGGTGATGAAACAGTTGACGAAGAAGCAGAAGCAGTCGAACCAGCTCCAGATATAGATGAGTGAGCGGAAATCATTGCTTCAGCATCCTTCAAGACTTGAACACCGGCAGGACCATACTCAAAAGACGTAGCCTTGAAGATCGTAAAGTCATTGTTATTACTCTGAGGAGAAGAGGAATTACCATAACCCAACATAGCATCGATTTCAGAACTATCCGTGTTAGCGACATCAGCGATGTTGAAGAAATCGGCATCAAATTTCTCAGTATCGTTCAAGGGGGCTACATTTTGGTTTGGAATGCCAGCCCAGGTGAAGAAGTCGTCGATGCTACCGGTATTTAGCTGTGGAGCTGTATTTTCAACAGCTGAATCGTTGCCAAAGGCGCAGTTGGGATCTGCCATGTATGCGTTGAAGTCGAAAGATTCGCAAATGTTATCGAGACCAACATTGTTGACTGATTGATCTGCAAAAGAGAGGCCGGGAAGAGAAAGCTCGGGAAGTGGGAGCTGATTTTGCGGAGGAGCGTCTGCATAGATAGATTTGTATGTATGAGATTCATAAGCAGCCCCGGGAGCTTGGCCGAAGATGGTAGCCGGAACACCAAAGATATTGAGCGAGGTGTTGGTCGTGGCAGTGTTAATTAACTGAAAATTGTTGACTCCAGCAGCATGAGTAATATCGACAGAATTAGATCCTTGACGACGACGATCAACCTTCTTGGTACGTCTAGTAGCCTTATCGATATGAGTATTTGGCATACCAGCGGCAGCATAGTTTGCAGCAGTAAGAGGAAGATCCATGGTACCGTTGCGAGGAGTCGGAGCGAATTGAAGAGGGATGTTGGATGTGCGCGGAAGACCACGAGCTTGTCGATCGAGATATCGTTGAAGGCCAATGTTACCAGCAGCTTGGACTTTAGCGAGGCCGTGAACAGAGACTGCAGATTCGAACGAAGGATTTTCACTCAATCTTTGACGAAGAGGGTTCTTGGGAGTGACACTCTTCTTGCGAGATGGTGTGTTTGGTGATAATATAATCTCAGACTCATCTCGTGGAGCCATATTGAATTGAAGATGTGCATATGGGTCGCTAGAACGACC